CATCACACGCGTCCAAGTACTCCACAGCGTGGCTGGCAAGAAAGGGTATAAAAGAAGGTTTAAAAAAATCTAATGACATGGCCTCCTTGTTCACCTGATCCGAACCCCATTGAGAACCTGTGGTCCATCATCAAATGTGAGATTTAGAAGGAGGGAAAACAGTACACCTCTCTGAACAGTGTCTGGGAGGCTGTGGTTGCTGCTGCACGCAATGTTGATGGTGAACAGATCAAAACACTGACAGAATCCATGGATGTCAGGCTTTTGAGTGTCCTTGCAAAGAAAGGTGGCTATATTGGTCACTGATTTGTTTTTGTTTTGTTTTTGAATGTCAGAAATGTATATTTGTGAATGTTGAGATGTTATATTGGTTTCACTGGTAATAATAAATAATTGAAATGGGTATATATTTGTTTTTTGTTAAGTTGCCTAATAATTATGCACAGTAATAGTCACCTGCACACACAGATATCCCCCTAACATAGCTAAAACTAAAAACAAACTAAAAACTACTTCCAAAAATATTCAGCTTTGATATTAATGAGTTTTTTGGGTTCATTGAGAACATGGTTGTTGTTCAATAATAAAATTAATCCTCAAAAATACAACTTGCCTAATAATTCTGCACTCCCTGTAGTCTCTAGCAGACACACTCATGTCTGGCGCACCGCAGAGTGATGCCGGAGCCGGAATATGACTTCATATTCCGGCTCCCGGCATCACTCTGCGGCGATCGAGGGAGCTGAGCAGAGAGCTCAGGGGAAAGTGCTCCCTCGCCAGCAGCCCATCCAGATTTTTAGTTAGCCGCAAGGCTAACAAGACATTTGCCCTGGGCATTTGTGGGCGGCTTTTTTTGCCGCCCCCTGGAAAATGCCGCCCAAGGCAAATACCTTGTTTTCCTCACGGCTAATATGTCCCTGGGTGGGGTCACTATGTGTGAAAGGCTGTGTTTCTATGTCCAGCTTCATCACACACTCAGCAGTTTGCTCTTTTGTAGCCCCATCTTAATTGCCATTTGGTTATAGAGAGGGGACAATTAGTAATATGCTGTGGTGATCCAGTGGATTCCCTGGTGATTTGCTTAGAAGTAAGGTTAGGGTTTGATAGGGTTAGAAATAGAGTCAGCATTTGATGCTGATCAGCATGGTTTTATAGATAGAAACAATGTGTAAGCGCTGTGGAATCTAGTGCAGATGGTATGGCAGCGCTCAAAACAACAATGCACACAAGAGTGTGTAAGGAGAAGCAATAGTTACCATATCTCCTCCCCTGGAATGATAAGGGGGAGGAGATATGCACTTAAAAGGATTGCTGGAACTCCATGACATTGTCAGAGGAAGCCTGTGGAGGCGGGCGAAACGCGTCACACGGATGTCATCAGAGGGGCGGACCCGGAAGTGGATCACGTGATCGGATCGAAACCAGGAAGTGATTTACACTCTATACTACTTTTCATGCTTTTATGTGGGTGACTCTGTGAGTCTATACCCACCACATCCCAAGTAAGGGTTTTTACATTTTTTTATGGAATAAACTTGTCTGTGATATTATTCAATTGGAGGTCCTGCCCTTCTCTTTACACACAGTATAACAGAACCACCAGTGGATACATCTTCTGGAACGTTTTCCAGTGTGGGGATATTCCCTCTCCAAAGGAGCCTTGCAAACCCAGAGCCAGGGGTGATAGGGCTCTGGGATATATTAGTTTAGCTAATATTTTACTGAATTATTACGTTTCTGTATTCCATATAGTCAAGGGACTACACTCCTGATTCCTGCAACATGCCAGAGAAAAGTGGATGCACTTGATTTACCTCAAAACGACTGTGTAATTAGGAGAAGAGTCTTATTAGTCTTATAAAGTGCAGACTTTAATAGGAATATCAAGCATAAATTGACAACGTTTCGACCAGCAAGTCATAGTGATCATAGTGATAATTGAGCATAGTCACATATTTCATTACCCCTACTTATACCCTTTGAGTCACTATACCCCACTACCTCTAGCATGTAAGCTAATTGAGCAGGGCCCTCAACCCTTCTGTTCCTGTGCTTCCATTTGTCTGATTACAATTACGTGTCTGTTAGTCCACCCATTGTACAGTGCAATGAAATTTGCTCGTGCTATATAAAGAAGAAAATAATAATAATATAACCAACAACTGAATCATTGCATTACACAATCAAAAAAATCACATTGTAATAACATACCGTATATACTCGAGTATAAGCCAACCCGAATATAAGCCGAGGCCCCTAATTTTACCACAAAAAACTGGGAAAACTTATTGACTCGAGTATAAGCCTAGGGTGGGAAATGCAGCAGCTACCGGTAAATTTCTAAATTAAATTAGATCCCAATAAATACATTAATTGAATATTTATTTACAGTGTGTGTATAGAATGAATGCAGAGTGTGTGTTTGTGTGTGTATATAATGAATGCAGAGTGTGTGTTTGTGTGTGTATTTATAATGAATGCAGTCTGTGTGTGTTTGTGTGTTGTGTGTGTGTATATAATGCAGTGTGTATATAATGCAGTGTGTGTGTTTGTGCAGTGTGTGTAAACTGGATGAGGGGAGGGCATTTTTATTTAAATTTTTTAATTTTATTATATTATTTTAATATTATTATTATATTATTATAGTATTATTATTATTTTAATATTTGCATTATTTTTTTAAAATGTTTTTTGTCCCCCCTCCCTGGCCAGGCAACAAGCAGAGAGGGGGGACAAAAAACCATTTTAAAAAATGCAAATATTAAAATAATAATAATATAATAATAAAATAATATAATATTAAAATAATTATATTATTTTATTATTATTTTAATATTTGCATTATTTTTTTAAATGATTTTGTTCCTCCTCCCTGGCCAGGCAACAAGCAGGGAGGGGGGACAAAAAACAATTTTAAAAAAAAATGCAAATATTAAAATAATAATAATATAATAATAAAATATTATAATATTAAAATAATTATATTATTTTATTATTATATTATTATTATTTTAATATTTGCATTATATTTTGTTAAATGTTTTTGTCCCCCCTCCCTGGCCAGGCAACAAGCAGGGAGGGGGGACAAAAAATTTTGGAAAATTGAAACCGCTGGACGACCTCCCGCATTGCATGAAACTTAACAACTGAAACTTAGGGAAACAGCCTCTAGTGGCGACCTTAAACTTTTAATGTAAACATTGCAGTTTCTGTAAAATTGATATGTTTTACATTGCAGGGTTAAGGTGACTAGGACACTGCGCCCAGAGATTAAGTGGTTTGGTGTCTATTATGTCTCTTTAGTACTTTATTTAAGGTTATAGTGGAGCAGATTCATGGTGCTAATACTATTCTTATGTTCAACTTACTGTTACTTGCTCATCCTTCTAAATCCTGCTTGATGGTTTACCTATTTCAATAATAATAATTTCTATTATGCATAGCATCTACCATACCTACCATCATCCCTTCAAAATCAAATGAGAGATCGCCTATTGTCACAACACCAGTGAATCTCACCACTAAAGGTACAAAGAGAACGGAGTAACTTTCATCCCTGTACTCTTATATATGCACTGGGCAGAATGATCATTTTGTAATTTTGTAGGCAGGGTCGGACTGGGGATACAAAGCAGCACTGGAAAAAAGTGTTATGCCAGGCCCATAAGTCACTGTGCCATATATTGTCACATGTAATATGTAAGGCTATGTCTTACCACCCCAGATGACAAATGATTGAGATAGAGATATATATATATATATATATATATATATATATATATTGATTTTTCTAATATAAAATATTGGTCCTTTCAGAGTAAAATGTTTAATTATACAGTAAGCATACTCACATGCAGACACTGACATCTCAATGACACACACAAGCTCATTGATACACAGCCTCAAAGACAAACAATCTCACTGATATACATCAGCTCATTGACATAAAAACACAAGCTCACTCACTAGCAGGCACACACATGCAAGCAAGCTCACTCACTCACTAGCAGACGCACACACACAGCTTAATGTAGTGGTACTGGTGTCTATAGCATGTCCCTACAGGCTTTTCAACGTAAACACTGACTTTTCAGAGAAAAGGCAGTGTTTACATTGCTTCAAAGTGACACCGCTAGTGACAGTCACTCAGACGGTCACTAGAGGTGCTTCCTGTGTCAGTGCACCTACATTCCGAGCCTCCACACTCTGGAGGCGCTGAACGTTCCCCATAGAGATATATTGATTCAATGCATTTCTATGAGGAGATGCTGATTGGTGTAGCATTTTGCAGCCAATCCTATGGCAAAGCATTGGATTGGCTGAGATCATCAAGCTTGATGATCTTAGCCATAGAGGCAGGGCCAGTCGAGGGGAGACCAGCACCCTGCGTGGGGGGAAAAAAGGTGAGCAAAAACACTATTTTTAAACACACATATACACCATGACAGACACAGAAACACACATATACCATGACAGATACACACCATGACAGACCATGACACAGACAGACCCACGCACACACCATGACACAGACAGACACACACAGACCCACACGCATACCATGACACAGACAGACACACACACATATACCATGACACACACACCATGACACTGGCAGATCCACACACACATATACCATGACACACACACCATGACACAGACAGACACACACCATGACACACACACACACCATGACACACACACACACCATGACACAGAGAGACGCACACACACTATGACGGACAGACACACAAACCATGACGGACAGACAGACACCATGACGGACAGACAGACACACCATGACGGACAGACAGACACACACACACACACCATACAGACACACACATCATGGCGGACAGACAGACACACACACACCATGACACAGACAGACACCATGACACAGACAGACACATCATAACTGACAAACACACTATGACACAGACAGACACACACACCATGACACAGACACACACACACCATGACGGACAGACACACACACACACACACACACCCCATGACAGACAGACACACACCATGAGGGACAGACACACACAAAATGACGGACAGACAGACACACACACCCAGGTGTCTGCCCGGCCCCAGGTGCCGACGGCCCACCGGGAAATTTCCCGGTATCCCGGTGGGCCATTCCGGCCCTGTTTGTAGGTAACCTGTAGTTTTTGTAGTTTTTTTTTCTGTAGTTTTTGATCCTTTTGTAAGTAACCTGTAGTTTAACAGTTTATTGCCAAAGTGCTAACTGTGGGGGGATTGGAGGTGGGGGGATTGGATACCATGACACACACACCTTGACACAGACAGACAGACAGACCCACACACACCATGCACAGACAGACAGACACACACCATGACACACACACCATGACACTGGCAGATCCACACGCACATATACCATGACACACACACCATGACACAGACAGACCCACACACACACACACACCATGACACAGACAGACACACACCATGACACACACACACACCATGACACACACACACCATGACACAGACAGACACACACACACCATGATGGACAGACACATACACACACACCATGACGGACAGACAGACACACACCATGACACAGACACACACCATGATGGACCGACAGACACACACACCATACAGACACACACATCATGGTGGACAGACAGACACACACACACCATGACAGACAGACACCATGACACAGACAGACACATCATAACAGACAGACACACTATGACACAGACAGCCAGACACACACACCATGACACAGACACACACACACACCATGACGGACAGACACACACACACCATGACGGACAGACATACACACACACCCAGGTGTCTGCCCGGCCCCAGGTGCTGACAGCCCACCAGGAAATTTCTCGGTATCCCGGTGGGCCAGTCCGGCCCTGGACCCAGGTGTCTGCCCAGCCCCAGGTGCCAACAGCCCACCGGGAAATTTCCTGGTATCCCGGTGTGCCATTCCGGCCCTGTTTGTAGGTAACCTGTAGTTTTTGATCCTTTTGTAAGTAACCTGTAGTTTAACAGTTTATTGCCAAAGTGCTAACTGTGAGGGGATTGGAGGTGGGATCTTGGTATTTTTAGTGTCAGAGGGCCTGTGTACCTGACTAATTAAGTGCAGACTGTTATTCAAGTTATACCCAAGTGAAATCAGTCTGAATAGCAGGAATCCATATCTTTATGTCACTTTGCAAAATAACTGCCATCTTTAGAACAGTATGTATACAAAAAAGCAAAGAGTTTCAGCATACAATTTTTTTTTTATGATTGAAGAAACTTTACAAGCACCATAACTACTAGAGGAATGTCCTGGCGCTCCCCTCCCCACCTCCACCTCCCTCCTATTTGAAGAAGTCATACAATTTTTAACAGTATGACTCCTTACTATTGGATCTGCCAGGCACTGCTACCTGCCTTCAATACTAATACTGGAGCCTGAAGTTCCATAGCAGTTACTTCCTTTAGGACAGGGGTCTGCAACCTTTAAGACAAAAAGAGCCACTTTGACCCGTTTCCGAAGAAAAAAAAAAATGGGAGCCGCAAAACCATTGCGACATTTAAAACAAATATAACACAACACTGCATATATTGTTTCTTACCTTAATGCTATATATACAGGATCGTGCAGTCAGCTGTCAATCTGAAGAAAAAAAGGACTTTCACTTAACAATGTAAAATATATTTTTGCAAATTAATAGCTAATTAAAATATTTAATTTACCTGGTTAATGGGACTTTTGCTCCTGAACCTCAGTGCTCAGTGTCTGCACATCAGGGCTGTAAGACGTCACCTTCATTTTCACACAGGCTTGCAAGCTGTCATCTGTGAGGCGTGATCGATGTTTGTTTTTAATATAGTTCATGTTTAGGGTTCTGTCTTTAACAGTCTTCGCAGAGAGAGGCATGTCTTTGATTTTCTGCACAATTTCATTCTTGTTTTTGAAGTCCATGTATAGATGTTCCGAAATCTTAATGAATGCTTCTTTTATATACTCTCCATCTGTGAACGGCTTCCCGTGCTTGACTATTTCCTGAGCGGCTACAAAACTAGCATATGTTGTGGAATTTGCAGACTTCACCCTCTTCTTGAAATTATTTTTGCTCCTATCAACCTTCCTCATAAGTTCTGCAACGGCTTTTCGTCTCTCATCTCCATCTGGATATTTTTCAACAAAGGCTGTGTGTTTATTCTGGAAATGTCTTGCAATATTCGACTTTTTGTTGTTTGCAAAGTTCTCACCACATATTAAGCATACTGGTAAACCAGTCTTGTCAGTAGAGAATGCAAATGATTCTGTCCATGTATCATTAAACACTCTGTTTTCTTCAGAAAATTTTCTTTTCTTGCCTTTATCCATGGCTGGCCTACCGGGGGTCCAAAACAGGGACGTAATTAGAAATCAGAGGGCCCCATAGCAAAATTTGCTATGCCCAATAATCAATGCCCCAAAATGCCATAGAAAATTAATCAGGGCCCCAGTGTACCATAAATCATAATCAGTGCCTGATGTAAATAATAATTAATAATGAGGGCCCAATGTCATCCTCGTCATTATAAAAATAACTTTGTCACTTTTTTTTATTATTTCTTTGTTTGACCCCTCAGAATTACTCCTCCTCATAGAAATAAACGTTAAATTAACAAGTTACACTCCCCTTCAAAACAGTGACCAGCGTACATGCTTCATGCTCATTAAGCTACATGCCCCTTACAATGTAGTGACCACCATACATGCAGTGTGTGGGCCGGGCTCCCCCCGAGGCATCACTTCACTTCCATGCCCCTGAATATGCAGAGACCACCATACCCCTTCAATGGTGCCAGGCATCACTTCACTTACCTCACACTGGTGCCTGGCACTCTGCTGCTGACGGGAGTCTGGACGGACGTCATCTTCCTCCTCGCAGTCGTAGACCTGCATGCACGCCGCTGCCCTCCGATCTGACAGCGGGCGGGAAGGTGACGTCGGGACGGTGCGTGACTAACGCACACACCGCCCCCATGCGACGTCACAGCCAGTACAGCGCCCGCCACAGTGGGGAGTGTCGGGGCGCACAATGCGCCTCCTCCCCTCGCTAGTATCCGCCCCGCGTGTTGCCGACCCCTGCTTTAGAACATTCAGTGCAAGGCTTAGCTCATCGGCTAAGATCGTTTACTTATTGCCAATGATAACTGATCTGTGTATATGAATATGTGACAAGGTACATGTTTCAAGCAGAATTGAAAGAAACAAGGAATAATACCCATAAACTATGATATCTTCACTACATGATGTTCTAGAGTATTGCTCTAAATTAAAGGGACACCATAGGCACTGTATCTGCTTCATCTCATTAAGCTGGTTATAGTGTATGGAGTCCCCTGGTGCCATCATTTCTTTCAACATTAAACAGTTTTTATGTTGTAATGTTTTATTGCTAAACAAGAGACCACATGTGCTGCTTTGGCTAATAAGGAAGTATTACCCTGAGCAGCAATGGGCATGTGATTGGCTGAGAGTGTCAGCTGACTGCTTTTAACCTGTCAGAGTTCCAACTGACGGTATGAATGGGTATGACAACAAGGAAGTGTATAATCTCTGCCTTAGCTACACATACAGAAGGGGCCGGACTGTGGGTGGCCAGGGACTCTTATTTTGTGGCATACTGCACAAACATGGTGCAACACTGAATGGAGGGACTGTGCCAGGGCACTCCAGGCACTATAACCAATTCAAAGAGACAAAGTGGTTATAGTGACTACAGTGTCTCTTTAAGGGCGACTTCCAGCTTTGCCAGAATCTTGAAAGTTAAACTCCATGAAGCAGCAGAAAACAACTCTAATTGTTGTCTTAACCCTTTAATGTAAACATTGCAGTTTCTGTAAAACTGCAATGTCTTGCATTGCATGGTTAAGGTGACTAGGACACTGCACCCAGACAACGTAAATGAAATGAAGTGGTCTGGGTGCCTACATTGTCCCTTTAATATTATCTTTAAGGTTATAGGGCAGCAGATTCATGGTTTTAATACTACTCTTATGTTTGACTTACTGTTACTTGCTCATCCTTCTAAATCCTGCTTGATGTGTTGCCCATTTCAATAACAGTTATTTCTATTATGCATAGGATCTACCATACCTACCATCATCCCTTCAAAATCAAATGAGAGATCGCCTATTGTTACAACACCAATTAATTTCGCCACTACAGGTACAAAGAGAACTGAGTAACTTTCATGCCTATACTCTTAAATACTCTGGTCTCCACCACAATTTTATATGAATTCAGTTGTTATGATGTGAGAATGTCCTCAGTGCCAACTTATCTCAAGGCATTAAACAAATGGCTCAGCCCAAAGCTCGAGACAGGAAGCTTTGGACAGGGCTTGAATTAGACGTGCTCTGAGCCTACAGTAGCTCCCCATTCACATAACTGCTTAAAAAAACCTAAAGGTTTCTCAAGCCATTTTGTAAACGGGGAGCTAGGAGCTACTAATAGGCTGAGAGCATCAGCTGATACACTGGGCATAGTGATCATTTTGTAGGTAACCTGTAGTTTAAAAGTTTAATGCCAAAGTGCTAACTGTGGGGGGATTGGAGGTGGGATCTTGGTATTTTTAGTGTCAGGTGGCTTGTGTACCTGACTAATTAAGTGCAGACTATTGCAGACCACCACCACCAACCCCCAATTGTAGAAGTCAAAGCATTTTTTAACAGTATGACTCCTTACTATAGGATTTTCCAGGCACTGCTACCTGCCTTCAGTACTAATACTGGAGCCGGAAGTTCCATAGCAGTTACTTCCTTTAGGACATTCAGTGCAAGGCTTAGCTCATCGGTTAAGATTGTCTGCCTATTGCCAATGATTACTGATCTGTGTATGTAGACTTGTTACATGAATGTGTGACAAGGTACATGTTTCACGTAGAACTGGAAGAAACAAGCAATAATACCCATATACTACGATATCTTCACTACATGATGTTCTAGAGCAGGGATCCTCAAACTTTTTTAAACAGGGGTCCAGTTCACGGTCCCTCAGACACTGCTCGGGGCCAGACTATGGTTTGACATTTTTTTAAACAAATTCCTATACATACTGAAACAGACACGTAGACATATACAGACACACATACACAAACACGCATAAGGACATACATACACACGTACACACTGACAGACATATATACATATGCATACTGACACACACACACACACACACATATACACACTGACATACATACATATACATACTGACATACACATACATACAGAAATACATACAGACAGACATACACATACATATACATACGTACACACACACATATGAAAATACATACACACAGACAGACATACAAACACATACTGACATACATACATATACATACACACACACAGACAGACATACTGAAATACATACCCACAGCCATACATATGCACACTGACATACATAAAGATAGATAGACAGACACATACATACACACACAGACAGACACAGACAGACATATACTGACAAATACATACACATACACAGACATACAAACACACAGACATACAGATAGACATATACTGACATACATACACACAGACATACATACATACACATGCATACATACAGATATACACATAGTGACAAACACACACAAACACATACTGACATACATACACTCATACACACAGACACAGACAGATACTGACATACATCCATACACACAGACATACATACTGACATATTGAAATACATACAAACACATACTGACATGCATACATATACATACAGACATGCATACATACTGAAATACATACACACAGACATACTGAAATACATACACAGAGACAGACATACATACAAATATATACTGACATACATACACACACACACACAAACATACTGACATACATACACTCATACACACAGACACATACAGATACTGACATACATCCATACACACACACATACATACTGACATATTGAAATACATACAAACACATACTGACATGCATGCATACTGAAATACATACACACAGACAGACATACAAACACATACATAAATACACATGCACACACACAGACATATTGAAATACATACACAGAGACAGACATACAAATACATACACATACATACACACACACACACACAGACACACACACAGACATACTGACATACATACACACACACACACAACACATACTGACATACATACACACAGACAGACATAACATACTGACATACATACAGATACATACACACAAATAGCTAATTTTTCTTACTTTTTTTGCACACACACACAAACAGGAGGGTGGCATGTACATGCTACATCACACACACACATCAGGGCAGTCATACACTTGGCTTTTTTTTGCAGGAGGGTGGCTGTTGCTGATGGGAGTCGGAGTGGCTCCCACGGCCTGTCTTTCTTTCCTCCTGCGTGGAGGGAGCTGGGAGGAAGTGAAGGAAACTTCCTCCCAGCACTACTTTGCGGCTGCAAATATTGGGCCGGGTTCAGGACCCTGGCGGGCTGGATCTGGCCCGTGGGCCGTAGTTTGAGGACCCCTGTTCTAGAGTATTGGTCTAAATTTAAGGTGACCTCCAGCTTTGCCAGAAACTTGAAAGCTAAACTCCATGAAACAGCAGGAAGTACTTCTAGTTGCTGTCTTAACCCTTTAATGTAAACATTGCAGTTTCTGTAAAACTGCAATGTCTTGCATTGCATGGTTAAGGTGACTAGGACACTGCACCCACACATGAAGTGGTCTGGGTGCCTATATTGTCCCTTTAATACTTTCTTTAAGGTTATAGGGCAGCAGATTCATGGTTTTAATACTACTCTTACGTTTGACTTACTGTTACTTGCTCATCCTTCTAAATCCTGCTTGATGTGTTGCCTATTATAATAACAGTTATTTCTATTATGTATAGGATCTAGCATACCTACCATCATCGCTTCAAAATCAAATGAGAGATCGCCTATTGTTACAACACCAATGAATCTCGCCACTAAAGGTACAAAGAGAACTGAGTAACTTTCATGCCTATATTCTTAAATACTCTGGTCTCCACCACAATTTCATATGAATTCAGTTGTTATGATGTGAGAATGTCCTCAGTGCCAACTTATCTCAAGGCATTAAACAAATGGCTCAGCCCAAAGCTCGAGACAGGAAGCATTGGACAGGGCTTGAATTAGACGTGCTCTGAGCTTACAGTAGCTCCCCATTCACATAACTGCTTAAAAACCTAAAGGTTTCTCAAGCCATTTTGTAAACGGGGAGCTAGGAGCTACTAATAGGCTGAGAGCATCAGCTGATACACTGGGCATAGTGATCATTTTGTAGGTAAACTGTTGTTTAAAAGTTTAATGCCAAAATGCTAACTGTGGGGGGATTGGAGGTGGGATCTTGGTATTTTTAGTGTCAGGTGGCCTGTGTACCTGACTAATTAAGTGCAGACTATTGTTCAAGTTATACCCAAGTGAAATCAGTCTGAGTAGTAGGAATCCATATCTTTATGAGACTTTGCAAATTAACTGCCATCTTTAGAATAGTTTGTATACAAAAAAGCAAAGAGCTTCAGCATACAGAATTTTTTTTTATGATTGAAGAAACATTACAAGCACCATAACTACTAGTGGAATGTCCTGGTGCTCTCCCCCTCCACCCCCCAGTTGTAAGAAGTCAAAGCATTTTTAACAGTATGACTCCTTACTATTGGATCTGCCAGGCACTGCTACCTGCCTTCAGTACTAATACTGGAGCCTGAAGTTCCATAGCAGTTACTTCCTTTAGGACATTCAGTGCAAGGCTTAGCTCATTGGCTAAGATCGTTTACTTATTGCCAATGATCACTGATCTGTGTATGTAGACTTGTCATATGCATAGGCGTGTGCATAGGGTGTGCCGGGTGTGCCTCAGTGCCCTCTAAATGCCCCCTTCCTCCCACCCATGTTCCTCCTGTCATGGGGGGGGGGCAAGAGGTGATGGACCCTTCCTCCGGTCGGGTGCCTGTCTCTAGATCAGACGCGGCGAGGGAGCTGTGCCTACTACGCTCCCTCACGCCGGGCGCCATTTGCTGATGCCGTGAGTCGGAATATGACGTCATATTCCGGCTCCCAGCTACTGTAGACAGCCTTCGC